CTCTGCAGTGGCCACATGTGCCCGTGGGTGATGGCAGCAGGTCACGGACACGGCTGAGGGGCCGGCCAGCACGGGTCAGTGTCCGGCCTTGCTCCCACTCCTTATCTGGCCCCGCGCAGCCGCAGGAAGCGGCGAGAGCTTTCCTGTTCCCGGAGCCTCCTGAGCCGGGTGGCTCCGAGGGCAGCCCCAGGCTCCTGCCCGGGGAGTGGTGCCAGCTGTGCTGCTGTGGCACGGCTCAACGTGGCACTTACCTGTGATCATCTGCTGGGCATCGTAGGGCTCCATGTACCCATCGTTCTCCCCCAGGCGCTCAGCGTCCCGCTGCCCCTTGGTGCGTTTGGCGTCGTAAGGGTCTGCGTAATCCTCCAGGATGATGACCTGGGCAGAGAACAGGCGTGTCTGGCTTCAGGGGGCCGTGGGGGTCCCAGCAGGGGTGGCAGAGATGTCACCAGCACAGAGCCAGGCAGGGAACAGGCACACTGGGGTCCCCAGGGAAGGATGGTGGCTTATCTGGGGTAAATGGAGCCGTGCCACAACCCCAGAGGATGCACCCAGTGACACCTTTGGGTGGGGGCAGTCCAGACCATTCCTATGCCCCTCAATGATGGTGAAGAGCCTGGGGGGAGCTCTGGGACCCTTCTGGGTGACAGCAACCCTGCTGACTGGCAGCCAGTGCTCCCAAGGCTGTGCAGGGGTGAAAGACCAGCTTCCCAGAAAAGCTTTGCATCAGCCTTTGTTTAACCAGCAGATGAGCTCTGGGGTCAGGCTGGCTATGATGAGGGTGCCCCCCCACCCCCGAATGGGTGATGAAGGGCAGCTGGGATGAAGGCAGCTTTGAAGGAATTTAAAGGCAGTGGAGCCGGGCAGGATAAAAGGATGAAGTCAGCCAGGCTAATGAGTCGGAGACCAAAGCAGTTAAAGCTGCCAGCGCTTCCCGCTCCCCACATCTCCCCCTCTGCCCCCGGCTCCCAGTCCCTGCCTTACCGTCTCTGTCTTGGGGGGCTTCCCCTTGTCCTGCTCGGGGGCAGGCAGGCTGGCAGGCAGGGCTCCGGGGTGCCCCTTCCCGTTCTTCTCGGAAGCCTCCACCTTGATCAGGCGGTTGATGTAGGTTTTGGAGGGTCCCTCCGGCGCGCCTCCCTCCACTCGGGAATTCTTCCTCATCTTCCCGGTGGCGGCCTGGAGCAGACCCTGCAGGTTGTCCCGTGACAGCCGGCTGCCCCCTTCCTTGCCACCCCCGGCCGCCCGGTACCCCCCCAGCTCAGCCGTTGAATTCTTGCGGCTCTTCCCGAGGCTCCCGCTTCCCGGCCGAGCCTTCTCTGAAACCGTCTTCAGGTTGGATGGGAACTCCTTGAACCACTTGGCCGCCATCGAGCTGGGGAGACCGAGGGTGCCGCAGCCCCCCCGGGGCTCCGCGACACCCCCCGGCTGCCCCGCCGGCTCGGAGTGGGCTCAGCCCGGCTGCCCCCAGCCCCGGCAACGGGAACCTCTGCGCACTGGGGCCAGCCCGGGAGCGGGGACGCGGGCCGGGGGACCGGGGCCTTCGTGGGGGGCTCCAGGCGTCCTCGGCCCCGGCGGGGACGGCCGGTGGGTCCCCAGGGGTGCCGGCTCCTGCGGCCCGGGGAGGTCCCTGGCCCCGGGGAAGGGTCTCGGAGGGGTTCGGCGTATCTGCTCCAGCAATGGGGTGAGTCGGGGGGTCCCGCCGGGGGTCGGACGAGTCCGGCCGGGGCAGTCCCGGGGAGGTTCCAGGGGTCCGCTGCCCCTGGGGACGGGGCTCGTGGGGGTCTCTCCGAGCTCGGGAGGGCCCGGCCGGGAAGGGGCAGCCGGGGGGTCCCGTCGCGGCTCCTCGGCAGGGCCGGTCTCCGGGGGCAGAGGGGCTTCGGAGAGGGGTCAGGCCGGCCCGGGGGGCCCCATGCGGCTGCGACGGGATGGGCCGGGGCCGGGCCGGGCCGGAGGGGCCGGAGGGGGCGGCAGGGCCGGCGCTCCCCGCCCAGATCCGGAGGGGGCGGCCCCGGGGAACGGCGCGGCCCCGGCGGGCCCGGGGAGCCGTGGGAAGCTTCGGTGGGGGTCCGGTCCCGGTGGGGCTGAGACACCCCCTGACCCTGCCTGGCTGATGGCACCACCCTAGACAGGGATCCCCCGACGGACCGAACGAGTGGAGCCCGCGCAGAGACTCCAGGACAGCGCAGAGCGGCCCCTCCAGAGACCCTGGGCACGCAGCCCGAGGATTGAACCTGGGCATGGGCTCTGCTCGCTGTGGATGGAGATTCTGCACAGCCCCCTGTGCACAGCACCTTTACAGAGACCCCGAGCACAGCACCTTTATAGGGATCCCGTGCACAGCACCCTTACAGAGACCCCGAGCACAGCATCCTTACAGGGACCCCGAGCACAGCACCTTTATAGGGATCCCGAGCACAGCATCCTTATAGGGACCCCGAGCACAGCATCCTTTACAGGGACCCCGAGCACAGCACCTTTATAGGGACCCCAAGCACAGCATCCTTTATAGGGACCCCGAGCACAGCACCTTTATAGGGATCCCGTGCACAGCATCCTTACAGGGACCCCGAGCACAGCACCTTTATAGGGACCCCGAGCACAGCACCCTTACAGGGACCCCGAGCACAGCACCCTTACAGGGACCCCGAGCACAGCACCCTTACAGGGACCCCGAGCACAGCACCTTTATAGGGACCCCGAGCACAGCATCCTTATAGGGACCCCGAGCACAGCACCTTTATAGGGACCCCGAGCACAGCACCTTTATAGGGACCCCGAGCACAGCACCCTTACAGGGACCCCGAGCACAGCCCGACGGGGCACAAGCGCTGTGTGCAGCCAGGGCACTCTCTGTGGCTCACACCACTCCAGCCAAGTTGTCACCGTGCTGTCACCTTGCTGGAAAAGCACAGCAGAGCCCACTGGTTTGGCCTCTGTCAGGCTGCAATGCCTCACAACAGCAAAGCAACCCCTTTGCAACTGCCCGGGAAGAGGAGAAGAGGGGTTTGTGGCAGAATCGCTCCCATAGCCCCAGGATGGGAGTTTGTGGCAGAACAGAGGCTCCTCTTCTGTACAGGGGGAGGCGCTGGGCGCTGGCAGCGCCATAGGAAGTGATGGCGATTTCCTCGCTGGCGCTGCGGGGCAGGATGTGCCGTGCAGTGTGCGATGCCCCTGGCAGGCTGGTGCCCGAACTGCCGCTGGGATCTTTCCTGCCTTCAGCTTTGCCTTCTTGAGGCCTAGGAAAATTCTACTTCTCCACCAGCAAACTCGGGTGCTGGTTTCTTTTCTTTCCTTCATAAGGCAGATTTCAATCCCCCTCCATTTTTATGGGGCCTCAATAGGACAGACACGCAGGCAAGCACTGTCGCTTTGTGCTGCAGTGGTGTTCACACCAATGTGCCACATTTCTCCTTCAATAAGACTTCCCTCGTCCTTGCTCTCTGCCAGCTCCCACAGGGGAGGGCCTTGGGAGTGCCTTTGGCAGTGGTGGCTCTGCCCAGCTCCTTCCCTGAGCAGCCTGGTGGCCACGAAGGCCAAGCCCTGCTCAGAGGGGGATGGCTGCTCCCTGGGCAGGTGTGGACAGACAGGACTGGCAGGGGCCCTGCAAGACACCTGCTCCTGCTCCACTGTCAGCCTTGATGCTCGCCAGGTCAGCATCCCAGGGACAGAGTGTCCTGCAGGGCCCTTTTCAGCTCTGCTCATCCCAGCCTGTAAAGACACCATGGGCTCTCCCGACCAACTCAGCACACCCAATCCCAACCCAACCCCACTGCTGGGCTCAGCAGAGCAGCCCCTCCTTCACCCAAGAGACAGCCCCACAAATGTTTTAAACCTTCGTTAAACTGAGTTATCCTGCTACCTAGCAGATTCCTGAGCTAAAGGTGGGAACTGAGTGCAGCTACTTCTGCCCTCCCAGCCCCAGGTACCAGGAGCAGGGCTGGAGAGGAGCCAGAACCCCAAGAGGTGCTGGTTTGGGCTGGAGGACACAGGGCAGAGCTGCTCAGCTTCACAAATCCTCTGGTCCTTCAGCAAAGTACTTAAAAATAGTCCTCAAGCTGAGGCCAGGGCCACTCCTGCAGCTGTGAGTAATCCTTCTCCTAACAGCATCTTTTTATTCCAAGGCTCTGAGAGCAAGACAGGGAAGCAGCTGCTGGAGTAGATAATGGAGTTCTGAGGCTCTTTGATTTTCTAATGACTTTTATTCAAACACAGTGAGTTGATATGCATGGTTCCATCTTTGACACTGGTGCGTCACTTCTGTCCTCCAGACGAGGACGTGGCCCGAGGTGGAGGAGCTCCAACAGCCAAAATCTCCTTCCAGCTGCCTCAAACCAGGGCTGTGGGGGTTCAAGGAAAGAGGCCACAACTGTAGCAACCCCATCCATGGAGGGCTGGAGCACAAAAAGGCGAGCAGGAACAGTAGCTTAAGGAGAGTAAAAGAAAACCCCATAGAACGGGGTGTTCACTGCTGGAACGGGTCCTGGCCGGGGCTGGGGGCAGTGGCAGGACAGAGCAGTGCCCCTGCTCCACTCCCTGCAGAAGAGAAGCTTGCAGCCACAGCACAGCAGGGATGGGGACAAGGGGCTCAGCCTCCATGCTAGTGGGGAGAAAGAGGGCAAAGCTCAGGCCTCAGCTCATCTCACTGCTCAGCAGGAGGACAGGGAGAAGTGTGGGGTGGGAGCTGGCAGCCCTGGGTACACCCACAGACCCTTCCTCACTGCAGCAGAGAGGGCAGCCTCACCTATCTCCCCTCTGTGCTTTGAGCTGAGAGGCTGCAGCTGATAGAGAAAAGCTGGGTTTGCCCAGGGGAGATGGGGCAGAAACCCTGCTCCCTCCATGCCAAAAAACAAAAGGGCTTTTCTTCTCCCAAGTCTTCCTGCAGGGTATGGGCCCAGCACAGCTCCACCAACTGCCCCACCCTGGGACCAGGGCTGCAGCAGGGTTTGCAGGGCACAACCCACCCAGCAGGAGCTTGGAAAAAAAAATTAGTTAGACCAGCATTCTCAAATTAACAAACTGTAATTTTTCTCCAAAGATACATTTTCCATACACATCCATCATACACCGTAACAAAAAAAAGCAGTGTACATGAAATAAGAAAATAAATTAAATCCATAGCATAGGTAAGGAGGATGCTCTAAACTGGAGTAGAGTCAAAAGTTTCCAGCAATACAAGAGGCTCAAGAGTTTGTTTTAACAAGAATGCCTGCTAGCATGGGCCCAGCAAGTGTTCTGGGTCAGTCCAACTCCTTAAACAGTTATTTAGAGTTTTGAACAGCCAGTATTGTCCTGCAACAGGCAGAGCTATTACATCCTGGGAGAAAGCCAAGAGGCATCACTAAGATCCAAGTAGAGCATCCAGAAGATATTCAGATTGGTCCTGCAGCATCCACACTAGCCATCCTCCTTGGGTGGTGTATACCAGCCTGCAATGAGGAGAAATCTGTGAGGGAGGAAACTGCACCTGGAGAAGCTGTCAAAAGCAGCCAAGTCCCACTTCTAAAGGGCCACATATTCCTGATTATTGGGAGCTTTTCCCTCTGGCTGACTTCCCAACACCACACAGAATCATTTAGGTTGGAAAAGATGTCTCAGATCATCAAGTCCAAGCAATCAGTGAGGGGCTACCTCTAGTTACAGCCTCAGAGCCCAGAGAGGGCAGCAGCCCTCTGCAGCCACACTGTGTTACAGCAGCTGCCACTGCTGCTGTCACCTCTGCACCTGAGGCAGGACAAAACTCGAGTGGCTTGTCTGGGCAGCCCAAACAAGCAAGGGAAAATGGAGGCCCTCTCCCTCAGCCCTTACCATTCTTCTCATGGATCTGAACCAGGGACTTGTAGGACTGCTGTGCTCTTGTCAGGCTGTACTGGTTCTGCAGGGGAAGAAGGCAAGGAGACCATTAGTGCAGCAGAAACCAAGGTGCAGCCAGACCTGGCTGTGCCCCCATTCTCCAACACTGCCCAAGCCCTACCTTGTTGGCTCCAAATTGTACTCGTGCCTTCCCTTTCACCAGCGTTGCACTGATCTGCATGATCACAGACTCGATGGAGTAGGCACTACTCCAGCCCTTGGGGATGAAACACAAAGTGAGACCAGACCCACCCAACCGTGCTCCCAGAGCAACCAAAGGGCCTTCCCCAGCTCTGGCAGGCAGTGGCAGAGCAGGAGATGTCAGGAATATGGAGTGTGGTAGGCAGAACAGCTCCCACAGGGATCAGCACCCACCTGTTTCGTAAGCAGCTCCATGCAGATGGCACCACCACCCAAAACATACCTGGGAAGGAATCAGACAAAGTTACCACACAGACAGATGTGTGATTATACCCACCCACTGCTCCAGAGGTGAAACATCTTCTCTGATTAGATTTATGATGGAAACAATATGCTAAAAACACCATCACTGTCTGGTACCCAATGGCAAATCCATGTCAAGGAAGTCACAGCTCTGGATAAACCCAGTGAAACCTGCTGCAGAAAGCAGCACTGCAGAGCACAGAGAGAGACAGATAATTACTCACCCCCCTGAAAGCACTGGGGATACAACCCTTACAAATGGTGGATCAAAAGGAAAGTTATCCTGCAATGAGAGAAGGGAAGCAGAGCCACTGAGTTCTCTGATGCCTCGCTGGGCGAGGCGCCTCTCGGGGAGGGGGAGCCTTACTTTAAAAGAGAAGTTGAGGAGGATGAAATCTGTTCCTTCTTTCTCTTTGAGGATTTGAAGATCGTTGTGCAAAGCGCTGTCCTCGTCAACCCTGTGAGAGGAAAAGCCCAGAGGGGTCAGGCAGGGCCGTGCACCCCAGGCCAGCCCAGCTCGCTGCCACCAACACCCGGAGCTGCCGTACCTGCACAGCCACACAGACAGCACAAACTGCCAGCATTCTGCTTCTGGTTTGCAGAGAAGACCATCACACCCCTTTTCCATGCTGCCAGCTTAAAAATAAAGGTTGCCTGGCCCAAGGAAAAGGCAGCACTGGTGTCTGGAGGGTGTGAAAGCTCAGGGTTTGCCTGCTGCGCCTCTTTGCGGGCTCTAGGAACAGCAGAGACTTGCAGAGTCCTCTGATTACCTCACCTGGGCTGGAGATATCATCTCCTTTTTGTCGTGGAGACAGCAAGCCAGCTGCCTGAGAGAGGCTAACTCAAGGTCTGCTTGGTGCTGCCCTGCCATGCTCATGTCCCCCCCACTGGTCCCATCACCAACAAATGCATGATCCCAAGCTGGGCCACCTACTTCAGGAGTTTGACGTTCCAATCGTACAGGCTGTCATTCACTAGTTCAACTGCATAGTATCCTGCAAGGAGAACACAGGGGGGTCACTGTGGGGGGACACTGAGAGGGGCTCGAGCCATCACCCAGATTTCAAACTCCCCAGGCTCTGCAGCACAACTTCACTTGGGCACTGTCCCTCCATGAGAAGCAGCACCTATCCAGGACAGTCCTGAGGGCAGCAGGACTGAGGACTGACTTTCTTTCTCTGAGTCCCTGGGCTCAGGAAAGGAGCAGGAACACCATCCCCCTCAAAGTCAGATGATTCTCTGACCCACAGCACACCCCTCACTTCCATCCAGCAGTGGCAGGGAAGAGAGAGGCTACAAGGTGGTTTTGATCACTCTTAACAGAGCCCCAGCCATGCAACGCTGGAGATCCTCCCCCTCAGCTGAGCAGCACAGCCCCAAGGCCCACTGGGTACCCCAGAGGAGGAGAAGGAATCCTCCTCCTCCTGCCCCGAGCTCCTGGCAGCACTCACCGCCCTTGAAACTTGGTGATCGGTAAATATCCCTGAGCTCCTTCATCAGCCGGTCAGTGGCCTGCACAGACCCAGACACTGCACCCTGCAAGGAACAGGGAGGGGAAAGTTGCATTGTTATGCTGCACCCAACCATGGCTGCTGCTCTATGAGCTCAACACCTGAGCTACAACTCAGTCCAGCCTCTAGACCAGACTCTATCCTGCCTGGCACCTCTCAGCCCCAAATGTGTCACCTCAGGCAGCACAGCTGCAGCAGAAACACCTCTGTGTCCCCTCTACTGCCTTAGAATCTCAGCCCAGGGGTACAAAAGCACAATCCACCTCCACAGCCTCAGGTGATCATAGGGGCACAGCTCGTGGGGCAGAAGGCAGCCCCAGATCTTGCTGCAGGAGTGCCCCATGAGGCACCAGTGCCCCTGGGGTCAGCCCAGCGCCCTCCCTGAGCTGCAGAGGCAGCTCACAGACTGCTCTGCTTCAGCCCCATCAGCCCTGGAGAACTGGTACTGCTGTACTTTGGCTGGGGACCCTCTGATTCAGGGCTGGAGGGCTGGCAAGGGCCTCCATCACTCTTGCCCTTGAGTCCCTCTGCTTCCCCAGCCCACCTGCCCACTGGGTGACACGTACATTTAAGTAATCTTGCCTCTGGTTCTTTTTTATTTTCTCTAAAATGGCCAGGTTTTCTTTCCCAATGCCTTCATCCTCTGTCTTTCTCCCATCTGCCGGCTCCTCCTCTTTCATCTCATAGTGGTCCAAGTCCTCAGTGTCCTGGGAAGGGAAGAGGAAAGCTCAAAGAGATGTGCCTCTGCTCCTCCCTGCTCTGAGTGCTGGGCTGCCCTCACCCAGGAAGGACCCCTAGTGCAATCCTTCACCTCAGGGAGTCCCAGCTCCTGATCTGAGGTACAAACAGAGTGGAAAACACAAGGTCTGGGCACTCAACTGGGCTCATGTGAGATCTTTGCTGGATTCTCCCCTGCCACGTCTCATGCCCGTTTATAACAATCTTTGAGTCCTCAGCAAGCCCCATGTAACCATGGCCCTGGATCTTGGCACACCTGTGGCTTCAGCAGCTTTTGCCACACTGGTGGTGGCTGGAACAAAGCACAGCCCCTTGGCACAGAGCTGCCAGACCCCCTGGGCTAGCCAAACCCCAACAGGGACACAGGGCACCAGCACCACGAGAAGAACAGAGCCCTGCACCCAGATCCAGCTGCATGGGATGTTATTCCCTTAATAAGAGCGGGGATTTCACAGCAGGTCTCTCAGTAGATCAGCTCAGCACACCCCAAGTGTAGTACCTGACCTCAGAAGAGCCTTTGGCCCTCATTGTTTCCCAAAATAACACATGGCAGTGCAATCCCCTGATAGGAAAAACCAGTTGCAGCCATCTGGACCCACTACAGAAATCTCTCCCCGTGCACTCAGGGTTCAGCTGCCTGGAAATGGCTGTGGGCATGCACAGCTCCAGCTCTGGCACTAAATCCTCTGAACAAGTGTTTCCTCTGGCCTCTCTGGGCTGGTTGTGGCTACTGAGCAGTGTTTTTGGAAGGGCTGGGACATTTTTAGACTCGCACAGGAAAACAGATCCTCCTAGAAAATCCCTCGAGTAGATTAACCTGCATAATAAATCTGTGTGCCAGGGCACAGTTCTGCTGCTTCACTCCTCCACACAGCTGAACAAATCCCAGTGCTCAGCACAAAACCTTTGCTCTACACGAGCACTCTCCCTCCACAACGCCTGGCATTGGCAAAAAGCACAAGAGGGAATGCTCAGCTCCTCAGGATTTATTTCTCCAGCCCAGAGGAGTGGAGGCCCTGCAGACTCTGATTTGCCATAAAGCTGCAGGTTTGCAGATTCACAAGGTTATGCTGGTGCCAGTTTAACCCTCCCCCTTTTCCCCACGGACAGTGGCAAAGCCCAGCCTTAATTTAGCAAGCAATTAACTTTGCCAAAGCCCCCCAAGTGCTGGGGTGCTGCTGCTCAGTGACCTGCCCCCAGGCTCCACAGCACTGCTGACTCAGTGCCCGTGCTGTTCTCGTGTCTGAGGCATTGCTAAACGTCACCATGGAGATCCAAGATTATTCCACCCACTTCCACAGATCTCTAAACTGCAAACCAAACAAGCAGAGCCTGTGGGTTGTGCAGCAAGGTGCCCTCAGCTTGCAGTGAAGTGTGGCTGCCTCCACCACTGCTGGCAATTAGCTCACTTGCACACTCAGCCACCTGACCTCATCCTCTCTGTGGGAGCTCCGTGCAACAGAGATTTCCCTGCCAGCAACAGCAACCCAGAAATGCAGCTCTCCTGCAAGAATTTCAGGCTTCAGAGAACAGCACGTACTGCCCCAGCAGCTCTGCTCACAGCTCATCCACATGCCTCTGGAGGCCATGGCTACATGGCCATGCTCTGCTCTAGGGTGGATGTCTTTGCCCCCAGTGAAGGAAGGATGAGGAGGACTCCATCTTATCAAAAAGCTAATTACTTTATTATGCTATATTATTCTATACTATATTATTCTATAGAGCCTCTGTGCTCTATAGTGGATGTCTTTGTCCCCAGTGAAGGAGAGGAAAGATGAGGAGGACTCCATCTTATCAAAAAGCTAATTAATTACTTTATTATGCTATATTATTCTATACTATATGATTCTATAGAGGATATCTTTGTCCCCAATGAAGGAGAGGAAGGATGAGGAGGACTCCATCTTATCAAGAAGCTCATTAATTACTTTATTATACTATATTATTCGATACTGTATTATTCTATAGAGGATATCTTTGTCCCCAATGAAGGAGAGAAAGGATGAGGAGGACTCCACCTTATCAAGAAGCTAATTAATTACTTTATTACACTATATTATTCTATAGAGCCTCTGTGCTCTATAGTGGATATCTTTGCCCCCAGTGAAGGAGAGGAAAGATGAGGAGGACTCCATCTTATCAAAAAGCTAATTAATTACTTTATTATACCATATTATTCTATGCTATATTACATTACATCTAAACTGACTCTGCCCAGCTCTCAACTGCTCAGAATCTCGTGGCTGTCAGTCCACAGTCCCCCCACACACACACACACCTGGATTCAACTGGTCAGTGAATCAAAACACTCCCACCAGAATCCAGTTATCAATTCCCTTCAGGTAAACAATCTTCCACCATGCATTCCACTTGTGAACAACACCAGAGCACTAAATAAGATAAGAACTGTTTTTTCTTTCTCTGAGGTTCAGAGAATGTGAAACCCAGAAATATTCTTGGGAAGAATTGTGCCTTGCTTTTCTCTGTGAAGAGAAATGTGGCTATGGTGCTCTCCTGGGGTTTGTGACTATGTGGAGCCCAGCTGTGCCTCAGAATCCTCAGCATCAAAATGCCAAGAATTATCCAGCCTTTGGTCCAAACTTCCCTGTCTGGTGGCCACAAGCTTCTCCCAAGCAAGACCCCTGTGCCCTCACACCTTTCAGCACCTTTCTCCCTGTGCTCAGCTCCTCACACCCTAAGGTGGCACTTACCTCTGGCATTTCTTCATCTTCCTCTTCAGAGGACACCTCTTCCTGGGTGCTCTGTGGAGAGGACAAGGATGGAGATTGTGTGCTCAGCATCCTGGGGAAATGCTCTCCTGCTTTCCCAGACGCTTCCAAAGCGAGCTCAAACAGGGATGAACAAGCAGAGCCAAATTAAAAGCAAAGAGCAGCTGAGAGCCTTTACAGAAAACAGCACCAAGGGCCAGCAGAGCAGGCTGGCATCACCCAGGACAGGAATCCAACCTCTCACCCACTGTGGTCCTCCTCTGGCAAGCCCAGAAGCCTCCAGAGCAAACATCAGGGAACATGTAAACTTGTTTTCTGAGCTCTGGGAGCCTTTTCCTGAGCCACTTACCTGTTCTGCTGGCAGAGGCTGGTCCAGCATTTCAACATCTGGATGTTGGGGGAGGTTGTAGAGTTTGCACAGGTCAGAGATTATTCGCTTCAGGTGCTGCAAAAGCTGTCCAGAGAACAGAGGGTCAGTGAAGTGTGGGGAGCTCTGTGCCCAGCAGCAAAAGCCCCAGGGCTGCTCCCTCCTGCTCCAAGCAGCAGGAGACACAGGTGCAAAATCCCACCCTGGCATCAAATGATGTCAGAGAAGTTCACCCCAAATATCTGGAACCTTTATGAGACCAGGGCAATCCCCACTTGGGGACATGTAAGCAGGGAGTTACCCCCCAAAGGTGCCAGCCCTCCCCTGCCCAGGCAGCAGAGCACATCTCACCAAGGTGTTTCCTTTCCTGACTTCCACCAGCCTCTCCAGGATAGCTGCCAGGTTGGGATCATCTGACTCCACAGACCATATGGGGGGAACAGCTGGATAAGACTCCTGGACAGGGGGAGAAGGGGGTGTTGGTGGGATGGAAACCATTGTGGTGCACAGGGCAGTGAGCCAGATGGGCTGAGGGCTGAAGATCCCTCTGTACCACATAGATCAGGCCACAGCTGACTGATCCACCCCCTCTAGCATAAACCTGGGGCTGAGGGCAGCACAAACCCCTACTGTGACCATGCTGGGCTGAGTCCCCTGGCCCAGGGTAGAACAGGGAGGGAGGACAGTGGCATTTTGGCCACCCCTCCGGCCGTGGGGCTACTGGGGGTGGAAGGCAGTAGAGGCAGGACACTGAGGGTGTCCCATGGGTGACTGCCCTCACAGCTTTGCACCAGCAGTTACAGAAGAACCTGGCAGCACCCACGCAAAGCAGAGGCCAAGCAGGCACATTTAATCCAGGACAAAGCCTCTGGCAATACTCCCAACATGCCCCTCCAGAAAATTCTGGTTGTTAGTCCCATTCAGACTCTACACCAGGGGCTGTCCAAGCTCTGCTAGCCCTCCTCGCCTGGAGACACAAACCAGCTGTAACTCGTGGTCAAAGAGGGCATCGGCACAGCAGCACCGGGATCTCTAAAACACCGGCGCGGATGAACCAGAGCAGGGAGGAGGAGCTGCCGCTGCTGCCCCAGGTTCCGCTTCTCCACGGAGATCAGGCCCCCCCTCCAAAACAAAACCGAGGGAAAACGGGAAAAACGGGGCTCCATGCCTGGCGACGAGCAGCGGGACAGGACTGTGGGTTCCAAACGCCACGGGGAACCGCCAGCTCTCGTACACCGGGACGGCGGGACTGCCCCCCGGTTGCTCTCTGCGTGAGCCGCGGCCCCGAGGAACTCCCGGAGGCCCCACGGAGAACGGGAACGGGGGCAGCGGCCCCCCGCAGCCACCGCCAGGGACGTTGGGGCACAGGCCCGGTTCACGCCGGGCCCCAACGGCGACGGCCCCGTCCCCGCGAAGGAGCAGCCTTCGGTGCCGGGGCCGCCTGGCGGTGCCCCCGCAGAGCCCGGGCCCGCCGCCCCCCGGGCCTCACCGTGATGTTGCAGTGAATGCGGACGGGTCCCGGCGGCGGCCCCCGGGAGGCAGAGGCGCCGGCGCGGGCCCCGGCCCCCGGGACGAACTCGCAGCTGATCTCGTCCGGGCAGGCGCTGCCAATGCGGAACCGCTCGTGGCCGCGGTGGAAGATGGACTCGAGCAGCCGCAGCTCCCGCCTCAGGAGCCGCCCGGCGGGGGCCGCCGCCACCTCGGCCCCGCTCCGCCCGGGTCCCCCCGCCGCCGCCTGCGTCCTCGCCGCCTCCTCCGGCCCCGCCCGCTGCATCTTCCCATGGAGGGACCCGCTCCGCCGCCGCCGCCGCCGCAGCCCCGGAGCCCGCCCAAGATGGCGGCGGGACGGCCCCGCTCCCGGAAGTGCCGTCGCCGGAACGGGCGGGGCGGCCCCGCCGGAAGCGTCTCGCGACATACGGGAAGTGACGGCTCCTAAGCCCCGGGGAAGCGGGGCGGGGCCGGCGCGGAGCCCCGCCCCTGCCCGGAGGGGTCACCGGGGGTCACGGGGAGGGGGGGGCACCGGGCACGGCCGGAGCCCGGCGGGGACGGTGCTCGCCGAGGCCCGGCAGTGCCGGCTCTGAGACCCCCCTACGGGCCTACGGCGGGGCCGCGGGCGCTCCGGTCCCGGCCCCCACCCGCCAACTCTCCCGCTCAGATCCCAGCCCGGGGCTCCGCCGCCCCGCTGGCCCCGCGCAGGGACCCCGGTGCAGCGGCGGGCCGGGGGAGCTCAGAGCCCTCCGCCGTGTCCCCGGGCCGCGGCGGGGCGGAGGCGGGGGCGGCCCCGGGGCCGCTGACGGCGGCGGTGACGGCGACGGAGCCGGAGCACGGGACGGCCCCGGCACAGCGCCCGGCACCGCCTCCCGCCCGGGGCCGCCCCGCCCGGGCCGCCGCCGCCGCCGGCTCCAGCACCTCGGACAGCGCCCGGCCAGAACCGCGGACAGCGCCGGGTGCCGGTGGCGGCACCGGGCCGCCCCCATGGCGCTGCTCCGCGTCCTCTGCCTTCTCGCTGCCCTCAGACGTAAGTGCCGGGGGCTGGGCGGGATGGCACCGGCACGGGCGGGGAGGGGACCGGAGCGGACCGGGCCGGGCCCGGGGGCTGCGCCTGTTGCACAGGACAGGTCCGGAGTGGAGCCGGTACCGGCCGTTCCGCGGTGCCGGTGCCGCTCCCCGAGCGCCCCGGGGCTGCGGCTCCCCGAGGCGGTGCCAGGGGCGGGCAGGGACCGACCTGAACAGGGGATGGGGTGTCACGAACGGGCGCGGAATGGCGGGGACGGGCAGGGGAGGGCGGACAGGAACCCCCAGCACGGTGCAGCTCCCGGAGCCCCCCAGCCCACCCCGGCCCTCCCTGCTCCGTGCCCGGCTGTGGCACCCACACCCCATCGTCGTGCACCCCATCGCTGTGCACCCCATCACCGTGCACCCCACCATCCCTGCTCTCGGGCTGCCAGGCTCAGAGCCCCAGGCTCTATCCCGGGGGATCCCCAGAGCCTCGTGGGGGCCCTGCCCGGCACCACGGGGCTCAGGCTCGGCCATGCCCCAGGGAGCCTGGGCACGGACACGGAGGAGCGGCTGGTTGAGTACCTGCTGGACCCTGCTCGCTATAACAAGCTGATCCGGCCGGCGACCAATGGCTCGGAGCTGGTGACCGTGCAGCTGATGGTGTCGCTGGCGCAGCTCATCAGCGTGGTGAGTTGGCCAGGACTCTGCTCCTGGTAAAGTGAGGGGGGCCCCAAACCCTCCCAGCACCCTGGGTGACTGGCCCTTCTCTCTCTCTGCAGCACGAGCGGGAGCAGATCATGACCACGAATGTCTGGCTGACCCAGGTGGGCACCCTGGACTCTGACGTGGCCCTGAGACCCCTATGTCCACCCTGCCTCTGCCTTGAGACCCATCCCTATCCCATACATCCTCTGTGGGACCCTAATGTCTACCCTGCCCTGTTATAGCCCCCCATAAAGCCCGTGTGGGACCCCTGTGTCCCCCCTGTCCTGAACCAGCCCCTTGCCCATCCTGTGGCTGGGCTGGGCTGATCCCACCTGTCCTCAGGAGTGGGAGGACTATCGCCTCACGTGGAAGCCTGAGGACTTTGACAACATGAAGAAGGTCCGCTTGCCCTCCAAGCACATCTGGCTGCCTGATGTGGTGCTCTACAACAAGTAGGTCATTTCTGGGGGGTGGGCAGGGAGGGGGGCTATGTGTTCCCCAGCCCCACCCAGGGCAGGGGGCCACGTTGTACTGCTGGGGCTGACAACAGCAGGACTGACAGCAGCTCTCTTCACCCCAGTGCCGATGGGATGTACGAGGTCTCCTTTTACTCCAACGCGGTGATCTCCTACGATGGCAGCATCTTCTGGCTGCCGCCCGCCATCTACAAGAGCGCCTGCAAGATCGAGGTGAAGCACTTCCCCTTTGACCAGCAGAACTGCACCATGAAGTTCCGTTCCTGGACCTACGACCGCACCGAGATCGACCTGGTGCTGAAGAGTGAGGTGGCCAGCCTGGATGACTTCACCCCCAGCGGCGAGTGGGACATCGTGGCGCTGCCGGGGCGGCGCAATGAGAACCCCGACGACTCCACCTACGTGGACATCACGTACGACTTCATCATCCGGCGTAAGCCGCTCTTCTACACCATCAACCTCATCATCCCCTGCATCCTCATCACCTCCCTGGCCATCCTTGTGTTTTACCTCCCGTCCGACTGCGGCGAGAAGATGACGCTCTGCATCTCTGTCCTGCTCGCCCTCACCGTTTTCCTCCTGCTCATCTCCAAGATCGTGCCACCCACCTCACTGGACGTACCCCTGGTGGGCAAGTACCTTATGTTCACCATGGTGCTGGTGACCTTCTCCATCGTCACCAGCGTCTGCGTCCTCAACGTGCACCACCGCTCGCCCACCACGCACACCATGCCGCCCTGGGTCCGCACCCTCTTCCTGCACAAGCTCCCGGCGCTGCTCTTCATGAAGCAGCCGCGGCAGAGCTGCGCCCGCCAGCGCCTGCGCCAGCGCCGGCACACGCAGGAACGCGCGGCCGCCGCCGCCGCCGCCACGCTCTTCGTGCAGGCCGGTGCTCACACCTGCACCTGCTACGCCAACCCCGGCGCCGCCAAGGCCGCCGAGGGGCTCAACGGTTACCGGGAGCGGCAGGGGCAGGCGGCGGGGCCCGGGGCGGGCTGCGGCTGCGGGCTGGAGGAGGCGGTGGACGGCGTGCGCTTCATCGCCGACCACATGCGCAGCGAGGACGACGATCAGAGCGTAAGTGGAGGTGGGAATCTGGGAGTGGGCAGAGCTGGGGGTGCAGAGGGTGTTCTGGCTCGTGGCTGTGCCACAGGGAGTGACTGCACAAGCACCAAGGGGGTCCCTGCCTAGCCCCGTGCTCAGTGGGGTCCAGCACTGATCCCTGACCCATCAGATTCTAAGTCGAGGTGAGTGGTGAGAATCTGGGAGTGGGCAGAGCTGGGGGTGCAGAGGGTGTTCTGGCTCATGGCTGCACTACAGGGAGTGGGGGTCCCTGCCTAGCCCCGTGCTCAGTGGGGTCCAGCACTGATCCCTGAGCCATCAGAGCATAAATCGAGGTGAGTTGTGAGAATCTGGGAGTGGGCAGAGCTGGGGGGGTGTAGAGGGTGTTCTGGCTCGTGGCTGTGCCACAAGGAGTGATGTGCACAAGCACCAAGGGGATCCCTGCCTAGCCCCGTGCTCACTGATCCCTGACCTACCACTGCAGTGCCAGGCTGAAGCAGCTGCTCTGGAAACACAGAGGTTCCCAGCAGGCCCGGCCCTGCACGGCAGTCAGGCTGCAGATTCTGCAGAGTTCCCCCCTGCCAGCTCTGCTCACTGGGGAAATGTTTCCTGGGCCCAGCGGTGCGGGTGGCAGCAGGGGGAGTGAGCCCCACGGGGCCCACGGCAGGCTGGCAGGCAGCCCCAGCCGCTGCAGTGCTGAGGGAGCAGATTCCAGGCTCTGAGATATGCAAATCCCCAGCCAGGGCAGTGTCAGGCAATACCCAAGGCCCCAGCCTGACCCAGCGTTTTTCCTGGCCCTGTGCAGGTGAGCGAGGACTGGAAGTACGTGGCCATGGTCATCGACCGCCTCTTCCTATGGATCTTCGTCTTCGTCTGTGTCTTTGGCACCGTTGGCATGTTCCTGCAGCCCCTCTTCCAGAACTACACCACCAACTCCCTGCTGCAGCTCGGCCAGGGCACCCCCACCTCCAAATAGCATGGGGAATGGCCAGTCCCAGGGCCAGAGAGATGGGTACTGGGCTCAGGCAGCCCCTGCAAACCAATAAATATTCCCACAGGACCGGGCTGGTTCCATCTGGTGTCATTTCATCCTACACTGTGCTCTGCGGGCCTGAGAGAGCAGGATGCAGCCAGGGCTGGGGTGACTCTGGCTGCCTGTGACCAAGGTAAGAAGGTAGGAAGGCATCATCTCTGTGAGAGGAAAATCCCAGCTGCCGAGGCAGAGAGCACAGGAGCGTGAAACCTGATCCACGGGGACGCGCTCAGCTCTCTGCTCTGCTCCTGGGAGCACCAGTCACTCACTGCATCTCCTCTCAGACCATGTGGGGCCAGAGCCCCAGCCTCATTGGGCAGCCCCTGGTGCTGCCAAGCCCCGTGCCAGCTCTGGGGCTCCCAGGGGATGACAGAGCAGGAGCAGAGGCATGGAGAGGACAGAGCTGCTCAGCTCTGGCTCTGAGGTGAACACATGGACCAAGCAGAAGATGCTATTTTTAGGTCCTACCTGCAGGCAGGGCAAGGGCAGCAAGTGCCAGGGGCTGCTCCAGCTCCATCTTCTTCTGTTCCACTCCAGGCTCAGCGTGCTGGAGCCAAGAGCAGGCACGAGATGAGTTGCACAAGGAAAAGGAAAACACAATTAATCAACCCAAGCTGGGAGCTGCTGGCAACAGGGCCCCAGCGTGGGTCACTGGGCTGACACCAAGGCCAGCAGCACTGCCTGCACTCCCTTGGCCAGCAGGAATTGGCCTCGTTGGGGAAAACTGAGATGGAGTGTTTGCTATAAATACCACTAATCCCCGAGGCTGGGGGGAGTGGTGGTGGCGGGGCCTGGCGACACACAGGGCCAGGGGAAGCTGCACGCTAGAAATTAATTTAAATCCCAGCACTTCACGCAGCCAGAGAAATCCCAGCTGCTGCAGCTGCTGCTCCTGGAGCTCAGGGGTGCACCCCAATACCTCAGTGTTAAGAGCTTTGCTCCTAAAGCAGCCCCGTGGCAGGGACTCGTCCCAGTTCATCCCACCCACTCTGTGCCACCTCTGCTGTTAGTCCCACGTCAGTGAGTGCAGGATGGGAGGGTCTTGCTGCATCCCGGTGGGGACTGGAGATCAATCAGTATTGGGAAAGTGTGGGGAGCACAACAAGAGCCCCCAGAGCCTCAGGCACAGCTCCCTGAGCAGCCTCAGACAGAGGAGCCCCCAGCTCCTGCCCCTGGCAGCTCTGCATGGCACTGGATGCCCACGGGCAGCTGCAGGCAGGGTGAACGTGTGACAATGGTGACCCTGCTTGGCCCCAGCCTGGCTGTTCTGTGGAGATCCACAGCCAGAGCTGGGGTCTTGCTCCCAGCCTTGGGCTCCTCACTTTGGGCTTGAGGCTCAATTTCAAGGTCGACCTGGCTCCCTTCATCATTCAGCAAACACGAAGTCATCTCTGTCCCTCTCCAAACCCCACCACGGGGCCCTCTTCACCTCAGTGGGAATTAAAAACACCCATGGCCAACAATGCTGAAACTTTCTTCTTTGTTATTAATGCAGAATGTTAGGCTGGTCCTATGGTTGCACATTGCAGAGGTCAGTCCCACGTCCCAGCTTGGCTGGGCTGCCAGTCATCTTCCAACAGAGACACAGAAAACCAGTCAAACAGCCTGTTTTGGTTTGGTTTTTTTTTTTTTTTAATCTCAAAGGAGAAAATTTGCCTCAAAACCTGCCAGAGGGATTTGCAGTACATGGTCCAAAGGTTTCAAGCTCACAGTCTTGAAAATTCCTCTGGTTTCTCATGCCTTCTTTAAAAAACAATAAAGGGGGGGACAAAACTATAAAAAAAGCAAAGGGGGACTGAGCCTGCCCTTGCTTTAAAAAACAGGAGAATCATTTACATGCACATTTTAAAAACACGGGGTCTGAGTGACAGTGACAAGGCAGCCAGGCCTACGAGGAAACCACTGCACAGTCCTGATTCCACTGCAAAAACGTGGTGAAAGAAGGATGAGCACAGCCATGCCCAGCCTGTGCACATTCACCCCCCAGTCCTTGCAGAGCGCTTCCTTACGCATCAAGGACAGAGAAATTTTCTTCCTCTTGGGGTTTGCGGATCCAGCTGCCGTAGCCCAGCTCTTGCAGCGTGCTGAAGAAGCTCTGCTTGGCTGCCTGGTAAGCTGTGGCTGCCTCCTTGGCATCTGAGTACACAGAGAAACCCTGCAGGTCTCTGCGGTTGTTCTTTGCACAGAGCTGCTGGAACAGGGTGAACATTTTCCTCTTGGACACACGAGACACCTCCAGCTTCACACTGGGAAGGAAGACAATGACAGCAATGAGGGACAGCACACAGAGGAGAGCCAAGAGAAGCAGGGAGCTCAGGAAAATCCCATGATGGAGGAGCTCTGGGCTTGGCAGGGCTCAGTGGTAGGGGAACATTTTGTTTTCCTTCAGGAGTGTTTGCTTATGTCTGTTTAAAATTCCTCTATCCAACCCTCCCCATGTGTAGGGTGTTGCCACCTTTTTCTTCACAGAGAAAAGCAAGGCACAATTCCTCCCAAGAATATGTCTGGGTTTCACACTCTCTGAACCTCAGAGAAAGGAAAAACAATTCTTATCTTATTTGCTATGCCTGTGTTGTGCCAAAGTAGAATGCAATATGAAAATTGCTTACCCAGAGTGGTGGTGTTTTGTTTTCTTGGCCTGTCAGGGCCAGGTGTGTGTGTGTGTGTGTTGGGAGATGCTGTGCAGTTGAGTGCTTGGCAGATTCAGTTTAGATGTAATGTAATATAATACAGAATAATATAGTGTAATAAAGTAATTAATTAGCCTTCTGATAAGACAGTCAGATGCATCATTCTCTCCCCCTTGTTGGGGGTAAAAGCATCCACTGTATAGGGTGCTGTAACAGTGCAGAGTGTACTCCCCACCTCAGAGCTGCCCCCCTTCCCCCAGGCAGTGTCAGGAAAAGGCAGTGTCAGGAAAGGCTCCTCTTACCCATCTACTTTCCCTTTGGTGCCATCCAAGATTTCCACTTCGCCTTCATCAGCAAGACACCAGTTCACTGAGGACTCCTTGGTCTTGCCTGTCTGCCTGGCAGAGTCGTAGACGCTGACTCGCCCCACCTGCACAGAAAGGAAGCTTAACCTGGTCCTGCTGCCTCAGTCTCTTGCCTCTTTCATCTCTCACAGTTTTAGCTCATCCCAAACTTTCCAGAGCCGCAAGGAAAAGGTTCTTACTGAGTTGAAGGCTGGAGAGGCACTTTAGTGTCCTTTTTTTCCAGCCTAAGACATTGCCAGTAACCCCCAAACTGTGGGGTGACACAAAGAGGGCAGGTTCTTGGGGTTGTCCTGTGTAGGGCCAGGAGCTAGACCTGATGAGACACCTGATGTGGTTCCCTTCCAACCCAGGATATCCCTTGCTTGTATGATTTTGTGCTTCTGGTCACTAATTCCTGCCCCTGGTTGGAAGGCTGGTGCACAATGACCCTCCCTGCAGAGCACCTCAGGGACCCCCAAAGGCACAGGCAAAGATGAAGAAGTGCTACAGCTGCAGTACCTCGGGGTGGTTGATGTGATATGGAGCCTGGAGCTTTTCCTTCAGAGTGCTCCCATCCCTCTCCATACGGCAGCAGATGGCACGGGTCAAGTGACCCTGGCTGTACAAGTAACCTGTGGAGACAGAGGGGAAGGTGTGAGGAAACAGGATGATGGACTGGCCAAACCCCAAGAACTGCAGCACTGCTCACAGGCTCCTGAAGGCTCAGAGCATGTGGATCAGCATAGCTGTGTGTATCCTGGGTGAGTACGACAATGGTGCTCACACTGCAACACTTCTCACTCGACACAAACATGCAGGTTTTGTCTCACTCTCCTAGACCACTTGTGCCTCCTAAAAATCCAGAACTTTGCAGAGACACTGACTATACCCACAGCCTAAAATCCAGAGATTCCCTTTGCATTTTCAAACAACTCTGCCAAGAAAGCCATTTCAGTCTGCTACTCCTACACCCTCCACAAACAAACGTGGCCATCAGACGAGCTGTCACTGCAGCCTGGTTTCACCCTGAGAGGACAGAGGGTTTCTCACCCAGTGTAAGAGAGTGGAGATAAACTGGCTCCAGGAAGTGTGAGAGCAATGCCCCTTGCAGGCCCAGAACATTCCAGCGTAAGATTTTGTCACTGCAGGACATGGTCCGCAAGCGCTCCCCGTGCTGGATCCCGTCCCACGTGGGCACAATGTCACTTGACTCCACAGGAATGGTACCTTCCCCTGCACAAGAGAAGAAAAAAGCTTTTCTGTATAGTGTCAGATATTCAATAAATCAAAACCCCACCAGCAAGTGCTTGAGAAACTTCTGGATACCCAGAGTTTGACACCAGGTTCAGGGAAGAATCTGGCGTTCAGTATTTGGGTACTGATGAATAATTTTCAACATGGCTGAAGCAGAATAGAACTTTGCTTGAAAGGCAGGACACAGACCTAGATCTGAGCTTTGCATCAAACTTCAGCTGCAAACTTCACAAGCATGGCAGTGTAATAGGCAGGGCTGGGAAGGGGAAAGGGACTCTCTCTAAAGCCTTCCTAGGAAGGGGTAGGGACTCTCTCTCAAGCCTTCCATCTACTTCTTTTGCTTCCTGAATGCTTCAAATCCCACAACAGCACACAGAGAGGGGTAAGGAAGCTCTGGAGCACCAGAAAGGCTCCCAGGAGAGGACTGAAGCCACCCCATGGTGCAGGGAGTGACTGCACTCACCGTTCTCCACCTTGGTCCGCAGCTTGCCTTGCTTGGGGTTTTCAAAGAGAGGCTGATGTTGGGGCTGCCCCATCTCGTTTGCCTGATCACTGCAGGATTTATCAAAGAGTGCTCCATCCCCACACGGTGCTGTGCTAGAAAACAAAGCCTCCCTGGTTAGCCCTGACTGTAAAGGAAACAGCCAGGGCCAGGGGCATGACAGTGCTGCTGACACCAGGCATTCAACTCCCCCCACCAACCTGACATAGAGGTGGAAGGTAACATTGCTCTTTATTTTGAGTTTCTGTCCTCCTGCTTGCTCAAAAATGCTCTCTTCTGCAGAGGAAGGATTAGATG